TATATAAATCTCCTTGAATTGATCATCGGTATTTCTTTAATTGATAATGTATTTCATATCTGAACCACTAGTGTATAAGACTTGATTTGTTAAACTACTCAAGGAGTATATAATCAACATATTTATACTCCGATGAGTTATCCTTTACATGTCATTGCCTACGATATGATCACTACACTTGACATCCATTCAAGATCGAACGTAATAATCTTGATAGAACTTGCTTTGTACAGTAATTTGCGATGTTATGTTGTCTATTTCTTAAAACGCGATAAGACATTGAAGGTTATACGTACAAATACTTAAACAGTTAATTATAAATATAAAATTTAACTAATTGTTATATCATGATATTTCTACGAGTACTATCTCGCATTTCATACTCGAATGAATTATATGTTAGTTCTTCACCTCTATATAATTACATGAGATATTCAGTTCATGATTTGACGACGAACCGATAGAATCTGTACATTACTCTAGAACTATAAGTATAATTATCTCCTAATTTCATATCAATGTAGTTTCATACTTTAAATATGGATTATTGATATTTTTTTGTTTATTCTACGAATTCTAACTTTTTATTTATAAATGTATACAAAATTGTTACACTTTTTGAAACAATTAATTATAGGTGTAAAATAAAAATTTAGTATTATGCACAATAACAAAATTATGATTAATAGGAATATCTTAAACAAACCGACCTCCGGATGTCGCTTTTATTAAAAGTAATTAGATTAAATAAAAACTACCGACCTCATGAGGTCAGTATCACATTAAATTTAAGATAAATAAAAAGTAATCATGTTAATTAAATAATACTAACATCGGGAAGTCGATATTTTATATTAATTTATTTTTTAACTTATATAAAACCGTCATCTGGAGGACGATTTATTTAAAGTTAATTGAAAATATTAATTTATTAATTTTCTGGAAGTCACTATATACATATTTTAATGAAAATTAATTTAATTACATACTATTTAATTTTATCGACTTACGAAAGTCGGTATTATAATTTTTTTTGTTTTTTATTTACACAAAACCGTCCTCCGGAGGACGATTTAAATAAAATTAATTTAAAATATTTCTCAACTTTGTTTTTTATATTTAATTGAGAAAAAATAAAATATTTTTATTTATTTATTTACTTAATACCGACATCAAGAGGTCACTTTTTATTGTAATTCATTTTTTCAGGGAATTATTCCGACCTCTTGAGGTCGGTATTTGGTTTTTCCGCTTTATTTGGCATAAAAATCGAGTCCTTGTAGTCGGTTTTCTAAAGTTTTTATTCTTCTTAACAATACCTACCTCCGGAGTCTTCTCCAAGTTGTGTACATGATGCATCTAAATTGCTGAATAAAAGAAGTCTATTAGGCAAAGTGACCAAGTTAACTTAACAAATAAGACGTTTTGCATTATATGTCGGAATTTACTTGGTTCTTGTTGTTTCAATATATAAACGACAAAGCTTTTAAAAACTGAAATGAAACAAATAATTGCATACCCTAACTAGGTATCATTTTAGTTTCTTCAATTCCTTGAAACAATCTGTTGATCCTTGTCAAAATGTGTGTGCATGATTATAATTGTTCCGTTGAGTTTGTACGTACTACATTTCTCATTCAATAGTGGGAAATTTCAGATGGTACTCCTTACTTATTTTTTTGCTACTCCTTACTTATTTATGTATCTTTAATTGATACGAGTATTACATGATATTCTATATTAATTACATATCAATAATAAACTTTGAATGTCACATAAATATTAATAAAAATATTTTTAAATAGTTTGTTTTAGAAAATATTTTTTAAATGATGGATATTATTATATATTAAAGCTTTTGAATTTAAAAGTTCTTTCAATCTTTAACATCACACTAGGTGGAGATAACCCGATTGAAGCTATAATTATTATTATTTTCTCAACTGTATGGTATTAGATGATGTATACAAATTTGAATTTTTAAGGTGAAAAATCTCTTGTTTTCTCAAAGTTATAGAAAAAAAATAGGTGTATATCTTTAATATTAGAATATTTAAAAGAGAGAAAACATTAATAAATATGTATATTTGACCAATTTATTTATAAAAATCGAAAAACACTAAATACCTATTTCTTGTAAAAGAGAACTAAAATAATAATCAGACCTCATTAATTCTTGTAGACATTCACTTCCACAAGACACAATGGTCATTTGAATCAGGGGCGGAGCTACAATATAATGGTGTCAGGGTGTCCAACCGGACACCCTTCGTTGGAAAATTATACTGTATATATAAGTAAAATGAAACCCTAAATGGTTAAATATTATATTTTGGACCCCCTTAGAATATCGATTTGACTTTTGAATTTTTTAAAGTATAAAATTTTAAATAAAACTTAACTTTTTTTTAATTTAAAGTTAATAACCAACTTTTATGGACATAATTAATAGACTGAAAGTTGAATTGATTGAAACTCTTGTCAAGTTCTTACAGTAAAATTCATGTAATTAAAATACAACTTACATGTAAATTAAAATAAAATTATACCTTTACCCGATAATATTACTGGAGCATGTTTATATTTTTCTCACTAAATCGTTAGATTGAAGTTCGATCCGTTATCAAAAGATGAATATTATGAAGAAGATGAAAATTTTCCTTCAACAAAAAAGCAGATTTTAATAAAACAATCAAATCTCATATAAGTAGTACATCAGAAATTAATATATAAATTACAAAATACTATACATATCTTAAGAACATGCTTTACCTAGATAATTCATATCTTTACTATACATTAGAAATTGATCATTTCTTTTGTAACGAAATTTTGTAATGCCTCTATTTATAGGTCATAATAATATGAAATTTGAAATGATATCATAAACATGCACTTTAATATGATTTAGGAGTTATGATTATTGAAAATCATGAGAGTAACGAAAATAAAAACAATTAATTTTTTTATATGAAAGAATATGAATAAATGGGGTGGTAATTGTCACATTCTTTTTTTACAATAATAAAAAATAAATAAATAGATTTTTTTTTTCATAAAAGTGAGAAAAAAAAAAAAGATAAATAGGAACCTTAACCAATGAGAGGTGCCTAACAATATTCATTTATGTACCTTTATATTACACGAAGGTGAGGTTCAATTGACAAATACATCTATCTTGCGGGATCTTTTAACTTCTCTAGAGTAACAAGAAAATGTTATTTCTTCTTCCACAATGAGTATTGTAACGAACTCAAGTTACATTTGCTCATAAAAATTAAACTTGAGTCATTTTAATAACAACGAGGGTAAAAACGAGATATTTTTATCATAAAGCAAATTTTGTTCAAATCATATGATCTGAGGGGCAAATTTGGTCAAACTTTATCCATATATAATGATGAATAATTTTTAAAAACTAATTAGATTTTAAAAATTAGGTGTAAATATCCGTAATTAGCGACTAAAAATAGGTTTAATTTAACAAGTGGCAGACCCAGAATTTACGTTTAGGGGGTTCAAAAAATAAAAGTATAAACGTGTAAATAAGCCTTTAGAAATGGGAACCTTGAATTATTTTGGGTTTAAAACTACACTTTTATGGGGGCTTGCCACTGCGCCATCAGTTTCTTTTTGTTATTAAGGTAGTTCAAAATTTATATATCTACAAAAATACATAAAATTTATCTTATATATAACGTGTAATTTAATTTTTTGCAGAGGGGGTTCCCGAACCCACGTGGGTCCGCCCCTGGGTTTAACAATACTTTTCATCATATGTCATAAAAATCAATGACATTTTTCAACATATGACCTAATATATTTGATATTTGTATAAAAATGTTACTATTTTAGCAACATTTTCACTATATGTCGATCGAATGAACGACATTTTACAATAAATGGCATAATATATTCGACATTTGTATTAAATGTCGCTTTTTTTGCAATATTTTTGCTAAAAGTCGCTAAAATCAATGACATTTTACAACAAATGTCACTATTTTAGTGACATTTTTTCTAAATGTCACTAAAATCAATGGCATTTTGTAGTAATTGTCATAATATATTCGACATTTATATTAAATGTCACTATTTAAGCGATATTTTTTCTAAATGTCACTAAAACCAATGACATTTTGTAATAAATGTCATATTATATTCAACATTTGTAGCAAATGTCATCATTTAAATGACATTTTCGCTAA